AGATAGCATATTTGTTGGAGCTTATTTTTTACTATACAAATTCTAAAATAGCCTCCACAACAAGAATAGCTGGGTTGTTGGAGTTGCTTAAAGTAGACTTTCCCCTTTGGGAGGAGATTATTTGGCCGAGTTTTTTTTTTCGGAACACACTAGAGACAATGTTGACGCACACATAGGCCCCGTTCGTTTATCTTATAATTTGTCTTTTTCAGCTTGTTTGTACAGCCGGAACAGTGTTTCGGCTTGTTTTTTCAGCGAAGCGAACGGGGCCATATACATGCATACTTCGCTCTCTATAAACTTAGGCCTTGTTTAGTCCCAGGATGCAAAGTGTTGGGTGTCACGTCGGATGTCACATGGGATGTCGTACGGGGTGTTCGGATACTAATAAAAAAACAAATTACAAAATCCGTCAATAAACCACGAGATGGATTTATTAAGCCTAATTAATCCGTCACTAGCACATGTGTTATTGTAGCACTTTATTGTCAAATCATGAACTAATTAGGCTTCAAAGATTCGTCTCGCAAAGTAGTCGTAATCTGTACCATTAGTTATTTTTTAGTCTATATTTAATGCTCTATGCATGTGTCCAAACATTTAATGGGATATGGTGTAAACTTTTGGAAGAGGAACTAAACAAGGCCTTAAGCGCACACTGAGTAAATAACGATATTTTTTAAATAATCAAATTATATCTAATATTAAAAGGCCAAAATTTTATCATATTTTTTGTTCAACTCTTTCTAACTACTGGGGCAGTGAAAATTTTCTTTAGTCCTATTTTTTTCTTACCAAGCCGCACCCACGTTCTCCATCATGGACCTGTTCGTTGGCTGGTGCTGGTGCAGGTTTGGGTTGGCTGGTGCTGGTTTTTTGTGAGAGGAAAATACTGTTAGCTGGTTGGTTTGGGCTGGCTGAAACCAACAAGCGAACAGGCTATCTCATATGTGACCGGATCTTATGACTTCTGACCCAGACTTGTGATGTATTGGGTCTTGGTCATGATCCATGCTCATACGAGTCAGAACAACTAACGTTTAGCGATGATACAAAATCTTATTCCTATGTATTGGTTTCCATTCTTACATATGAGCACATTTGTTAGAAAATGTAAGAAAACACGAACACAGGGACCTTGCAATTTGATATAACCACTGGTATATTCATCATGTGTATATTACCCATCATGTAATAAAAGGGAAAACATGGTTTTATCTTGCGAGGTTCTAAACCAGTTAGTACTACTGTCGGTGTTTCGGACCGAGGGGTCCTCAACCAACCAGTGAATTTGTTCTGCGTGCTCCCGATCCGGATGGCGATGCAAAGAGACACAAGGTTTATACTGGTTCAGGCAATCGAGGCCCTACGTCCAGTCTGAGAGATCGATCTTGTATTCCTTGCACCGAGGTGCTCGTAGTAGGGGGTTACAAGCTAAAGGAGAGAAGGAGCTGGTCCTAAGTCTCGGCGGGGTGTCGTGCGGTCCGCTTGAGACGTTGCTCTCAGGCGGCCGGAGTGTGTGTGTGTGTGTGTGTGTTCCTAGTCCCCCCCTCTAAAACAACCCAGGTCCTCTCCTTTTATAGCATGAAGGGAGGACTTGGGCGGTACATGAGCTGACTATACGGCGTCGCGTGAACAGAGGCGGCGTGTCCGGGCCCTGTAGCCTGTTCCTGTGGCGGCGTGGCCGTCGGAGTGGTCCATCCTTGGAGTACGGGGGCGGCATGGTCATCCCATCAGGTCCTGTGTGTCGTGGGAGCCCCGGGAATGCCTCGGAGTGGACGCGGCGGTGAACGTGCAAGCCACTGTGGATGGACTGTGCGCGACGCCGAGGCTTGGTCGATGCCGAGGCTGGCACTACGGTGGGGGGTCTCGGCAGGCACGTACCCCAAGATCGCCGAGGCCCCGGTGTACAGTGCCGAGGCCTTGAGCGGGCGGCCGATCATGGGTACAGCGTTTGGACACAGTGGTCGGTAATCCTCGTCGTACCCTTTCCCAGCCGGTATGGTGCTGATCGTGGACACAGTGGTAGGGCACAGTGGTCGGTAATCCCCGTCGCGTCCTTTCCCAGCCGGTATGGTGCTGATCGTGGACACAGTGGTAGGACACAGTGGCCTGTCCCAGCCGGTATGGCGCTGATGCGACCTCAGGTCGCGTCGGCCATCCTGTGGCGTTGAGCCACCGTCCGGCTGAGATTGCGGGAGTGGTTGAAGCATTAATGAGACATGACGAGTCGTTGGGAGGGTCGGCCGAGGCGGGGCGACGGATCGCGGACGAGCCGGGCCTCGGCGACACGGAGAAGCGAGGCCTCGCGCGTCACGGAGAATGAGGGCCTCGCGACACGGAGAATGTGCCCCTGCCGAGGCCTTCCCTAGATAGCCTCGGGCGAGACGGAGACGGCGTCCCCTGCCGAGGCCTACCCTTGGGAGCCTCGCGCGAGGCGGAGTTTGTTCCGAGACCTCCTGCTCGAGGCTCGAGGCGAGGTGGAGGAGGGCTCGGTCGTGGCAGGTGAGGGGCCCACGGCTTACCTTCTAGCTTTGTTTTGATGTTTGCTTGGGGTACCCGTTCTAAGGTAACCGACAACTACCATTAAAGTGACATACACTTCTTAAAAAGTTCAGCTTTTGACAATTCTTTTAAAATATATTTCGGCTACTAATTATTGGAAAGGAATCTGGTTGGCATCCACCAGGAGTAACTTCAATCAACGCTTGTTTAGATGACATCCAAATTTCAAGTTTTTTCACTCTCTCTTCATCACATCAATTTTTAGCCGCTTGCATGAAGTATTAAATGTAGGTAAAAAAATAACTAATTACACAGTTTAGTTGGAAATCACGAGATGAATCTTTTAAGCCTAGTTGGTCCACGATTGGACAATATTTGTCAAATAAGACGAAAGTTATACTATTCATCGGGTTCACTTTTTTTGCAAAGTGAACGAGGCCCAAGTCGAAACTTTAGTTCCTATAAGTTCTCAACGGGGAAAATCATACCCATGTTAATTTGTGGACGGCAAAATAATAGAAAGGGATGCTCAGTTGATTGGGTTTCTTGGTTAAACATGCCAAGTTGGATTTAAGTTCTTGATTTGATGTGGTATTTGTATTTTTTTTTGTTTTATTGGAGGATTTTACGATGATGTCGTTCTTCCAGTGTCAATCTAGGTGCTATATCAATGGCGGGACGTTTTGATATGTCGGCTGCCTTTCAAAAGTGTTCATGGGATAAGGTGAGTGTGCGTCTATGCACAAATGTCTATGTTTATACCATAATTTACTAAAAAGTGGTAATAGACAGGAAATGTCATTTTAGATAAACCTACTATGACCCGTATATCCGTCATGTTCGCTTGAACTGCTTATCAACTATGGTATAGTGTTTTTTTCTCACAACAAAACAGCATCAGCCGACTTATCAGCCGCAGAAACCACCATCGGACGGCTTAATTGAAGAAAAGGAAGATTTGACATGTGAGTTATTATTAGTCTATGTTTGGATCCTCCCATCTAACGTTTAGTCACTAAAATTTAGATTTTAAATCTCCAATAAGTTGTTTAAAGTTGGATCTAAACTTTAGCTAACCCTTTAAATACACTTTAGACCATTAGACCATAAAACTGAGCTAAAATGATCCAAAGTTTTAGTTTCTCCCGGCTCGTTCCACAAGCAAAAGATTCTTTTGCCCCGCGAAATATTTGTTCCACCCGGCTCCCGCACAATTCGCGAAATGCATCGGGCGGCTTCCAACGCCCCCGTCATCGGCCACTGAACCTGCTGTGCCTTGACTATCCCACAGTCACACCTCCTGCCCAGCCTTCCCACTGCCGCCCCTGCCACGCATCCCACCACCGCCAAGGATTGAAGAAGCAATGGCACCGTGCTGAGGATCGAAGAAGCCGTGCCGCCACATCGTGCCGAGGATTCAAGAAGCAGTGACACCGTGCCCTTCCCCGCCTTCCTCTGACGGATCCCAATGGCAGAAGGTTCTAATTCTTTTATGGACAAAACAACTTGATAGAACTTCTAACTTGCGTGTCACGGCCGTGGTTGATGGAAGTAGTAGGTCTCACGGCCATGATAGTTTCATGGCAACGAAAATTCAGGGGTACAAAAGCCCTTTTATTGAACCAGAACTAAACTTGTTCTAAACTTTAGCCAATAAAATCTTAGACCTGAGAGTCTAAACATGCCTTTTAGTTTTCTAGCCTCACAATTACTTGGCCTCCAATAATTTTGTTTGTTACGGCTAAGGCGGGACGACCTTTCAGCGAGAGTTGCGTCCACTTAAGTCAATTACTGCCATGCTGTCGATTGACATGGAGACTGTAGCATACTGTAGCATTCCGTTTGTATTTGGTAATAATTGTTCAATCGTTGACTAATTAGGCTCAAAACGTTCGTCTCGCAAAGTACAACCAAACTGTGCAATTAGTTTTTGATTTCGTCAATATTTAGTATTCCATGCATGTACCGTAAGTTTGATGTGACGGGAAATCTTCTTTTTACCTAGTGACAAAGTTTGGATTTTGGGTATCTAAACCAACCCCCCAACCCCAAAACCGCACCAGCAACAGCAACGGGGGACAGGTCGCCTCCCCGGCCCACCGATGGAACGAGAGCAATAACAAGCGGGTAGGATCGCTACAGGTGGAGTGTGAAAAATCGTGCGCAGGAGCCGGGAGGCAAAGGAACATTGTGGTCAAGACGCCGCGTTTTCACTTCATTTTCCTTGTAATGGGCCTCCCCGCCCCCGGAAATCTCCGTTTTCTCCCAGACAGACAACCGTTTACTACACCCACTGCAGCCAGCTGCAGTAGGGCAGGAGAGCTGGGCCCCCCTTCCAACGCGCCTCGCACTGCCCGGGCTGGCCTATATATAAACCACCCCACTCCCCTCATCACCTCTCACCTCGCCTCAGCAGTCACCATACACATCCTACATCTCCCCTCGTCCTCCTTGCACGGTGCACGCTGCAGCAGCGAGCGAGTGACGAGCTAGCCATGGACCAGCTGCCCAAGCGCCCGGCCAACTACGTGCCGCTGAGCCCCGTGGGGTTCCTGCCGCGCGCCAATGCCGTCTACGGCGACCGCGCGTCCGTCATCTACGGGCGCGTCCGCTTCACCTGGCGCCAGACGTACCAGCGCTGCCGCCGCCTCGCGTCCGCGCTGCTGTCCCTCGGCGTCCGCAGGGGCGACGTCGTCTCCGTGCTCGCGCCCAACGTGCCGGCCATGTACGAGATGCACTTCGCCGTGCCCATGGCCGGCGCCGTGCTCAACACCATCAACACGCGCCTCGACGCCGGCGCCGTCGCCACCATCCTGCGCCACTCGGGGGCAAAGCTCTTCTTTGTCGACTACGACTACGTGCGCCTCGCCAGCGACGCGCTCCGCCTCCTCGCCGCCGACGGCACGCCCGCCGTCCCGCTCGTCGCCGTCATCGACGACATTGACTCGCCCACGGGGGGCCGCCTCGGAGAGCTCGAGTACGAGGCGCTTGTCGCGCATGGCGACCCCGACGCGGAGCTCCCGCCGCTCGAAGACGAGTGGGACGCCGTCACGCTCAACTACACCTCCGGCACCACGTCCGCGCCCAAGGGCGTCGTCTACAGCCACCGCGGGCGTACCTGAGCACCACCAGCCTGCTGCTGCAGTGGGGGGTGACCACCGAGCCCGTCTACCTCTGGACTCTCCCCATGTTCCACTGCAACGGCTGGACCTTCACCTGGGGCATGGCGGCGCGCGGCGGCGTCAACGTCTGCATCCGCGACGCGCGCCCCGCCGACATCTACCGCGCCATCGCGCGCCACCGCGTCACCCACATGTGCTGCGCGCCCGTCATCTTCAGCATCCTCCTCGAGGGCGACGGCGCCACCAGGCAGCTCGAAACACCCGTGCACGTCCTCACCGGCGGCGCGCCGCCGCCGGCCGCGCTGCTGGAGCGCGTCGAGCGGATCGGCTTCAAGGTCACGCACGCCTACGGCCTCACGGAGGCGACGGGGCCTGCGCTCGCGTGCGAGTGGCGGGACCAGTGGGACCGCCTCCCGCTCCCGGAGCGCGCGCGCCTCAAGGCGCGCCAGGGGGTCAGCGTCCTGTCCCTCGCCGACGCCGACGTCAAGAACGCCGACACCATGGTCAGCGTGCCCCGCGACGGCAAGACCGTCGGGGAGATCGTCCTGCGGGGCAGCAGCGTCATGAAGGGCTACCTCAACAACCCGGAGGCGAACGACAACGCCTTCAGGGGCGGCTGGTTCCTCACCGGCGACGTTGGCGTCGTGCACCAGGACGGCTACATCGAGATCAAGGACCGGTCAAAGGACGTGATCATCAGCGGCGGGGAGAACATCTGCAGCAAGGAGGTGGAGGAGGTGCTGTTCCGCCACCCGGCAGTGGCCGACGCGGCGGTGGTGGCGATGCCGCACCCCCGCTGGGGCGAGACGCCCTGCGCTTTTGTCGTACCCAGGAACAACGCTGCCGAACTCAGCGAGGACGACGTGCTCGCGTTCTGCAAGAAGCGCATGGCGCGCTTCATGGTTCCCAAGAAGGTGGAGGTCGTCGGAGCGCTACCTAGGAACGCGCTCGGAAAGGTTGAGAAGGTCAAGCTCCGGCAGGCGGCACGGAAGCTGGCGCCCACCGTACCGGCGCAGAAGCCGAAGGGGAAGACGACGACCTCCTCGACGACGGTCGGCGGTCGCCGCGAGGAGCAGCCGGTGGCGCACATCATGGCGGTGTCAAGGCTCTAGGTAGCACAACATTACAGAGCACAACTGGTGCTACACAGTGCACTTCTTTTTTTTGCCAAAGCTTTGGAGCTACTCACACGTGCCAGAGCTCCAAGGATGGCGTAGTTTTCAACTTCTTTTATGTGCAGTGATAGTGTAGGTACGGATGAGGATCACTCGCACGCATTTGTTTTCCTCCCTTTTTCTCTTTTTACTTTTATACTTAATTATGTGCACATTGTAAAATACATGGTGTGAAAACGTGAAGGAAATAAAATTTTGTTCTTGCTCAAAAAATTTGTGATAAAATTTCTCCTTTGCACTTCTTTTTTTGTCTCGTTAATCCGGTGGTAGTGACTGAAATTAGACAGATCACTTATAAATTCCAGTGGTAATGATCGGAAGCGGGGTAGTAGACTTCGCTTTATTCCACCGGCAAAGCCCCTCTGATATACCCTCTCCCTGAATAAATTAATTTCTAGATTTTTTTTTAACTTTGACCAAATTTATGTAAAAGAGCACTAACATCTATTACATGAAAAGTATAATGTGAAAACTTATTTGACCAATTTTCTCATCATTTTTTCTACATTAGGTTTCCATAGCATCTTCTACAACAAAGTACATATACAAACGCACTATGGAAGTGCATCGTTACAAGTTTTTTTAGATGATTGAACTATTGAAGTATATTTTCGTATTGGTTTTCATGTCTCCATCCAATACGTGATTTGCACTATATATTCTACTGTATACACGTTAAGGATATTTTACGTGTAAAGGGGTATCTTGTATCTCAGTCGCTTGGCCCCCTCCGATTCGCTGAAAAAACAAGCCAAAACACTGTTCCGTCTGATTTGTTATGAGAGAAAAACACTGTTCCGATTGAAAAAATATGTTGAAAAAGACGGATTAGAAGAGAAATGAATAGGGCCGTTATGTTCATGTTAACGATTTCTGGCCATTAAATGCGAGCGGGACATTGTAGAGGGAGCATCTGCCGTTCAACTAAGTTGTTTGATTATAGAATCAGTAACACAAACGTAAAGGAATCAAAGCTTTGGACATGATGACAACAGATACGACGCTGATCGGATTTCATTTCCATTTGCATTACTATTCATTATTCAACGAACCAAACAACACGTAAGATGCAATGTAATACACTTACATTTATCAAGTGAAAAAAAGAGAGAAGGTTCTCAACGAAATACAGCATGCTTCCCCGAATAAAGGAGACGCAAAGAAATTCAAAACAGACAGCGTCCACTAGTAGTGACAACATAACACATTTACCACTTAAATCTTGCTTGATTCGCCAAGAGCCAAGAGATGGACATATGCATAAAATGGCACGGCATATATACTACTATATATATATCTCGGTTTCTCGTTTGATAAACGGTACTCCAAGCTTCTCTATGTCCGTGTATCTTTTAAAACATGCATTATTGAGTACGTTTTTCGTTTTAAAAAACTGATCACGTTTTCCGTGCTTCAAGCTTCTCTATGTCCGTGTATCTTTTAAAACATTTTATTTCTCTGTCTACTTCTTATCGAACAGGAAAATCTGTGTCCGCACCACTGATCTCTCTCCCTCTCTGTTTCGTGGATCATTATTACTTTGTTGTGCTGATAACGAGCATTGTTCTGAGAAGAACTGGAAAAGCCTTAGATGTAACGAAATACACTCAGGGCCGTTTGGATACTTCATTTTAGAGGAATTAAAATATATTTAATAGATTAGACTATTTGACTTGAAATTTGATATATTTTATAATTTTTTCAAGCTCATAAATAAGTCTATCTCAAATTCACAGGATAGGAGATGAAAATAGATTCTATAGATCACTATGCTATAATTCTACTCTTCAACTTATAGCACACTCTTCAACTTACTTCCCTACAATAGAAATACAACATATAAGTATTGTTCCTCGTATGCCTAACAATAAATATACAAATATATTTCATATATAACTATATTAGCTTAATTAATCTATGTCTAAATTGTAATTATTAGAATGAATTTAATTCAAGGATCTAGACCTGCCCTCACATTTATCGAGTGAGAAAAAAAAAGATTCTCAACGTAATACATCATGCTTTCCCTAATAAAGGAGACCCGAAGAAATCCAAAACAGACAATGGCGACCAGTAGTGACAACCACATTTACCACTTAAGTTCTTAATTAGATGCGCATGTATTCATCAGCAGATCAACAGAAAGGCTCCAAAGTACCTTACTTAGTCTACTACAAAGTGACAAAATGGCACGGGATAAAAATAATATACTACTACTATATATCTCGGTTTCTCGTTTGATAAAAGGTACGTTTTTCTTTTAAAAAAATTGATCACGTTTTCCGTGCTTCAAGCTTCTCTATGTCCGTGCATCTTTTAAAACTTTTTATTTCTCTGTCTACTTCTTATCGAACAGGGAAATCTGTGTCCACACCACTGATCTCTCTCCTCTATCTCTGATCACGAGCATTATTCTGAGAAGGAAAGGATCCAACCAGCGATAACTTGAATACTTGATACTAGCACGTACGGCTGGTCGCGCTTCTGCGCCGGTTTGTGAGCAGTAAAAGACGCGTGAGCAGCAAACACACTCGGGCAGCAGTGAAATAGGCGTTCACGAACAGGTAAAAGAAACAGTGTGTAACAGTGTTTGAATAGTGGCAAATAGTGTAGAATGGTGCCGAACAATTTAGAATATAAGTAGAAATAGGTCCAGCTTCTTTTGGCTGTGTTGGCTAGACCTCTTTCGGCGTAAGATAGAAGCATGTTTGTCGATACAATATCGTCGATAATCCTCCGAGAGGTCCTATGAAGATAGATTGGTCGGCAGAGAGACGTGTAATTAAAAATAAGAAGGCAACAGAGACATACGAGTTAGACAGGTTCAGGTCGTCAGTATGACGTAATACCCCACTCCTGTGGTCTATTTGATTGTATTAGCTATCATATGATATTGCGTGAGTTTGGAGGGGGTCCCTGCCCGCCTTATATAGTCCGGGGGCAGGGTTACAAGTCGGTTAGATCTGAGAGATAACTAGAAAGTAATAACAGATTACAGAAATTATGGGATCATACGTATCCTAACAGATCTCGTAGTGTCTTCAGGATATCTTCCCGGTGTCATGCGGGAGGCGCCGAGCAGAGTCGTGCCCCGCAAGGCTTCGTCTTGTGGGCTGGGCCGCCCCTGGGGGCGTAGCCCATGTGGTCTGCCATGGGCATCCGGGGTCATACCCCCCACAGCTAGTCCCCGAGCGCCTTGTATCCGTTGTGCAACGCCGTCTTGAGCTTGTCTGAGCAAGTGCGAACAAAGCCGAGTAGTCAAACTTATGGTCCGACCACCATGATAAGTTGTCGAGCAGTTGTGAGCCGTCGCCGAGCAGCATGAACCGTTGCTGAACCGTCACCGAGCAACGTCAACCGTCACTGAGCAGCGTAACCCAGGTACGGCTTGCCATAAGGGTGTAAGGAGCTCAAGTTCAAAATCAAAAATTTCCTCACAGTGGACCAAGTGTGCCCACTTAGAGTCCGACCACGAGAAAGGGAGATAGTCTTCTTCAGCTTCAAGAGGTGCGGAGTCTTCAGATTAAAGCAAACACACTCACCGCGAGGTGAAGTGTGCCCATAGTCCCCAGTCGACGCCAGATGACGCAGTCATGTGGTGTCGAGGTCCAAAATAGAAGAATAGCGAGAAGACCCGGTAGGCGAGGCAGCCGGTCCCAGGCGTAGCCTCGAGATGAGAAAAAAGCACATTCACCGTAAGGTGAAGTATGCCCACTTAGTCCCTGAGCCTAACAGTAGGTGACGTGGTCACGTAGTGCCAGGGTCAGAAACAACAGACAACAGAAGAAAGTCCCCAATGCGGTGAGGAACCGAGATGTAGTGCTGACGCAGTCCCCGAGCCACAAGAGGAAATCTTGGAGAAATTAAATCGCGGAGAAAACACCGGAGTAATGGCTGTACAGTAGTAATTACTGAGCCGTAATGGTTGGCGGAGAAGTCGGCGAATATCCGGTGTGTAGTAACAAATTGCGACGAGAAGTGGACGATACGGGCCGCAGTTGCGTGAAAGACCAGGTAACGGCCCACCACGCTATTGCGGAGAATTCGGAGAGGCGCAAATCGTGGGAGCGGTTTTCCAAAACCCTTGAATACGAAAAGGTGGCGGGAGTGCTTTATAACTGCGCCGCCGCACCCCGCGCTCCCACCTTTGCCACTTTGCCATTTTATCTTCCTCCTCACCCCTCGCATTTCTAGATTCACATCAACGCGCGCTTCCGCCGCCAGTCTCCATCCGGATCTGACAGATGGCGCCTAAGAGGGGAGCTACGAACCCAAAGAAGGCGAGCATAAGAGCCAGCCGTGATGAAGAGTGGGTGCCGTCGCACACAGGGGAGGCGGAGCTCAACAGATTGGTGGAGGCGGGAGTTCTTCCTCACCGCGTCACCGCCGGATGGCGGCCAACCAGCGGTGAGCCCTTCCCAATGCCTCACACTGATGAAGTAGGGTGTTTGAGGATTATTTCTGGTGAGGGTTGGGATTTCCTATTTATCCTTTTCTGAGGGATCTGTTGGAGTTCTGGGCACTTAGTCTGTGCAATCTCCACCCAAACACCATCTTGCATATCTCGATCTTTATCCACTTCTACGAAGCGTATCTGGGGATTCTTCCGTACTTCAACCTCTTTAGACACCTGTTCTGGTTGAAGAAAGGCGGCGGCGGTTCCAAGGTGGTCGGTGGCGTATATCTGCAACTCAGGGACGGGATGGCGAGCGAGTACATCACTGTACCGCTGAATACTTCGCTGAAGGGGTGGAACGCCAGGTGGTTCTACATGAAATAGAGCCACATTGCAATCCGCTGCGACGTCGACCACATCCCAGAGAGCCAAAAGAGCTGGTCGGAGAAGCCAAGCAGTGCTGACATAGAGCAAGTGAGGGAGCTCCTTGGCTTAATAAAGGGCGTGAAGACCAACGGTGGACTGGTGGTGGCGAGCTTCT